CGGAGACTGCATTTTATAGTTGGGCGGGCATGTTACTTGGCGATAAAAGGTCTGTTTTCCATTTAAACTGAGCTTCCCTATGAAGACATTCTATAAAGCTTTGACATAGAAAAATAACCAGAGGTAGAAGACACTTTTATTTGGTGTTGGGCCATGTACTTTTTCTCTTGGGGTTAACTGACAGAAGTCAATTATTCCCAGGATTGCATCATCATGCCTTGCACTAGAAAACGCTCAGAAATAAGTGAAAAAATCTGAGAAACCCCCCAGCCTGGGGGGACAAGTTGTCTCTCTCCCAGATTAAGGTAGGTCTACTGTGAACCAACTGGTCAGCAACTTCTTATGTGTAAATTATTCACTTTGGGAAAGGCAAGCATTTTAGGGAGCACACTGATTCCTCAAATGCAATTTAGGAGATCAAATTTCAATATTTTAAATGCTATTCACTGCACTCAACTTTAAACTTACACAGTTCTAAGACTAGTCCTGAAAGATGATGAAATCCAGTGGTTTTTTAAATGTGTACGGCAGAAGTCCAGGCCTTCCAGAGAACTTGAGATTACAACTGTGGTTTGGGACAGAAGGAAAGAAACGGGGTAAGGAGAAGCTGGCTTCAGCCTGTCATTCCTGACTTTGGTCTGAGAAACTGTCCTTTCGCTTAATTTATAAATTTTAATTACTTATAATTTACTTAATTTATTTATAATTTTTCAACTTGGAAAGAACATTCTACCTTTTAAATGAATTTTATCTTTGGATGTCATTCATCCAATAAGTATTTTTTTGAGCATCTACAATCCTTGCAGGTACTATGCCAGCTGTGGAAGCTACAAAGACGAGTAAATCATCTTTCTGCTAATATAGGATTTCAGGTGCTATTAAAGTGCTTAAGGACAGTGCTATCAGATACAGTGGAAGACATTAGATTAGGGAAATCATTTCCCAAATGAGAAAATTGAGACCCAAATAGTTTAAGTGACTCATGCAAAGTGACACAGAGAGTAGCACAGTAACCCATATCACCAACTATCTATACAGAAGCTCCCTGTTTCTAGCCCATGTTGCTTCTAAAAAGAATGGGATCCACATACCGAAACCCACTCTTTACAGCTTTTAAAGACATAACTGATGTTTTGTTGACGCGATTTATGTCTTAACCATTTGTATACCTCCACTGTCTAGTACAAGACAGGGTATTAATGGATGCCCAACAAATTTTTTTTTTCTTTTTTCAGATATCAAGAGGAAGTGAGCAGAGGAAAAGGGCTTTGAAGATAGTGACCTAAATCATCAGAAGGGTCTGATTAATGTCTACAAACGTGGTGCAAAGAGGGACACCAGCCTCACAATGTCGTCCTCGTGTGCTTGGCAAACACGTCCTTCTGCTGAACTTTATGCTATAATGAGAACTTAGTGAACACACAGAAATTTTAAGTGGCCACGAGAACACAACACACACACATCAGACTTATGCTTTCTCTCACAGACTTATGCTTTCTGTGGATGCAACAGCATTTTTCATTTTGGTAGGTTCCCACACTTTGATTTCAGCATCCCAAAGGATTGTAAAACACATTCAACATTTTTATATTGGAGTGAACATATTTTTGGCTCCAAAAGTATTCATTTTGGTTCAACTCGTAGTTGAATGGAAAGGCATATGAACTTTATTTAACTTCCTTTAAAGAATATAGCCATGGATTACTTGGATACTGATATAGTCTAGTTTTGGAAAAATGTAATTTATTGCTTATTGTGATTTTAATTTTATAAAATCACTGTGTTCTATTGATTTAGAAGAGGTCTGAGCACATAGGGAAAAAAAAAAAAAAACCTGACCTAAAATTTGATTATGTTCTCCCGAAAAGAATAAAGTATAATTGAAATACTAGTCATTAGTCATTAACCCCAATATTTTTTAAAGATAAAACAGAAATACTAAGTTACTGGATTTGACTTTTTTCCCGTTCCTAACATATTTGTAAGTTTTGAATAAAACCATAACTCCTTTAGAAATACAAGTAATTCATGTCCAATTAATCACATGTGTGTCCCTCTAGATTGCTTTCAGACAGGTCACATTTCTAGGACATTAATTTAAGCTTTCATTAATTCTGTAAGTAGAATGAGCACATAAGTGAGACTTCATAAAACAAGAGTTAAAAAATGTGACCTCTCTCCATTACAATGAAACTGATTTTGTATAATTGGCCAGATTATTATGGTTCTTATTTCTATAATAGTAAAAATTATTTTAAAAATATATTATACATAGCCAACTGAATCTGGGGAAGACTTTATGTTCTTATAATTTTATTTAGATCTATCTAATATTTCCCCCTTTCATTTTGTTTTTTCACCACAAGGAGCTGTCTGTATTTGCAAGGAGACAGATCGATGAACCTGACCAAATTTGGAGAACTCCATCACCAACTGAGGCCATCTTCTTTCTCAAAAATAGCTCCTAAACATCAGGAAAACTTTTGACCTGGTGAACATTCCAAAGATTTAGTTTTAGTCAGGGCTAAATAATATAGATGAATGAGATATGGAGCTATGCTCAGATTAAGCAAAGCACAAATAAAAATTCTCAGCTTGAGGCTGGTACAATGTTCAGTGATGATGTGTCAATTATCTGGTTAATCTAATCAACTCAGACCGTGCCAGGGGATAGTTCAGGTTCTAAAGATGAAAGCAAGAAGGAACTCTGTTATTCTGCTTTGCGTTTTCCATCATTTCTTGCCTTACTCTTTGTTGTGGTTTTCCTGCAGATAATATACGTTTAACAGCAAACCTTAAATTACAAACAAGACTATGAACAGCCTACTGGAAGAGCTTTGTGTTTATGACAAAACTGGAGAAAGAAAGAAAAAAAAGGTTGCTTGTCACGGAGGAATAAAACACATATTTCTCATGAGGAATGATTTGCACTTTGTTCTGACTGCCCATGGCAGAAGCCATGAGAGGCACCTCACCCCACTTCCTAATCTACATTATTTTTCAGCCACAGAACTTGGTTTGTATAATTTGCTTAGAGTGGATCAAAGTCCTCTTGGCAAAATTTATGAAGCCATGTTGCTTTAAAATGGATACCTTGCAAGCTGGGTATACCTCCCTAAAGAAAATACACCTCTTCTAAAGAAAAAGATGTTTATTGCTTACGTGACTAAAAGAAAATAAATCGAACGTATATATCTAAAAACAAACAAACAAAGTAAAACAAAAAACAGGGGTTTGAAAAAACAGTCTAGAAATCTTTAATCAGAGAGTTCAATTCTTGTGCTTTAGGTTTACTTAAAGTAGAGCTTCAGGGGCTGGTTTCATTGTTGAGCTCCAACCACCTTAAATCAAGTCCAGTTTGATCTGGGGCTCCTACACACATCTTCCGAAAGACCTGAGAGGGTTGGAAGACTATTTTGTAATGACAGCTTCTCTCTGAGTTAGTGTTGTGAAATCTCTGAGGGACCTTCTATTACACAGATAGAGGTGACAGGACCCAGTATCTCAAGTTCACAAAATAGTAGGAAGTTAACTCACAGTCAAGATCTAGGACCAAGGTTGCAAACTCAAATACTGTACCCACTGGGGCCAAAGTTCTTTTTTCTTGAGATGTCAAAAATCTATATGTTTATAAGAAATCACCTTATATTAAAGCATTGATCCATTTTGTTTTAATATTATACGGATCTTGGATCTGGATTTGGCTTGTGGTCACCAGTTTGCTAACCATAGTCTGAGGTCTAAATTTAAAAACACATGCACACTCAGAAGGCAAAATGAAGATCATGGTTACAAACATTATATGCCAAGTACTCTGTGAGCACTGCACTTATCTTAAATTATCTACAATAATCCTAATAGTTAGCTACAATTTTTTGGTCATTTTTCAAATGTGGACATTAAATGACACAGAGGTTAAGAAACTTGCCCAAGTCTACAGCTAATTAAGAGTCTGTACTCTTGACCATACTACATGTACAATATCCGATTTAGAATCCAAAGTTACAAGGGGTCATTTTTTAAAACTGTCTTCTACTCATTTTCCTTAGCAAATGTTTAAGGCTGGCGACTTTAACAATGATAATTATTATTATCGAATTAAGCTTCTGTTTCCTTTAGTTGAACAGAGCAGTAAGACTGGACCGAGTGCGGATATCAGACTCCTGGATGGAGAAGCTCTGGACTGCAGTTCAGCTCTGCTTTTCCTCCAGCTGTGTGACGGCGGTGAACCTTTTAGGCTTTAGTCACACTTCATTGCTTATTCTTCTGGCACGTCAGTGAGGTGGGTTTTCCATCCCAATTTTTGTGGATAAGAAACTGAAGCTCAAAATGACTAACATGAGTGCCTGGTTATGTAAGTCCTCAGCAAGCGGGAGCCAGTGTGACTTCCGCACAACCTGACACAAATCATCCGCCTCTGAAAGCAAGCAATGAGCCCCATTTACGAAGCTGTAGACATTATGAGTCCCAAAGATAATAGTCTTGCTGAGGCATTTGCAGATATGCTGGCTATTTTTGTTATCATTATTACCCATTGATTTTTTTTCTTTTCTTACCTCTAAGAAAATGACAACCTACAAAAGTAAGGTGGTTTGCTATGATTAAAATTTTTTCGACATTCGAGCAAATGTCCTTTCTACTATGTCACTCTGCCTCCTGGGCCAGTCGACCTTTGCGGTAAATAGCTACAGTGGACTATCCGAAACGGCGGACACAGACAGGCTGGAACAATGAATGCTATTCCTTAGCATTCAGCACAGCCAAGTGTGTAACAGTGAAAAGTCAGCATCTAAATGAGAACATCAAAGCATTCTCTTGGAGACCCATCGGATCCCTGCCCCCTTCCCCCAATGGAGTTGCTGTCTTTTGCACTTTGAAATTTAGCCATTAGGAAACAAATGAACTAGAAGGACCGGAGTTCTTTCAGCTAGATCAAACTGGGGTCGACGTTATAAATTTAGCGAGAGGCAGTGAGAACAGAAAGAACAGCAAGGGCTTACTTCAAAGACCAGCGTCTCGTTTGTGGGCCCTGGCGCATACAGACGTTCCGGGCGGTTAAAGGCACGCTGGTACTCGAACACGGTCCCCGCGAAGGAGAACTCCCCAGGCCAGTCGATGCTCCAGCCCCCTGTTAGGTAGTATTTTTGATGAAGGCTTCGGACTGCGAGGTAACTGGAGGATATCTGTAGTTCCTGGATCTCAATGCTTCGGGCCCCCGCTGGAATGATGACTACTGGATAATATTCTAAGTGGAAAAAATAGAACATTCCTGTTTTCCATTGAAGGTGATGAGAAATGCTCAGAGATATGTTGTGGCCATTTTTGGAGGGCAGAAATTTTTGAATCATTAACTGACATCCATTTCTATGCCTATGAAGTGAAACTGATCAATTATTTCATTTTTCAAGTGATGGGAACGCTAGAGAAAGAAATGTATGTGCCTTTCCCAAGTAAAGACAGAAGACACTCTTTAAGGCCACAAAAACTCAAAAATGTTTTAAATTTTTAATCTACCTAGAGGAAATTGAGAGCCACATATACTCAGTAGTGATATTCAGAGAACAGGGCTCAAAGTTTCATCTTACTCAAGATGTTTACACAATTGCTTCAAATAGTCATATAATGTGAGTGTGGATCATCAAAGTTTCATCGTAAGTTCTTTGTCTAAAATGCATGTGGGGCAGATGACAGCCTGATCAGCATATTGACATTGAAAAGTAGAAAGGCATTTGTTTAACACCTCTCTGAGATGTACATAATGATAAAACTCTTCACACTAAAAAAAAAAAAAACTATCTTCCCTAGCAGGAGCGTTGAAAGCCATCATCTTCCGTGTGCCAGGTGAGCCAATAAAAGGCTCGACCATATTTAGCATGACTCGAACTTGTTCGGCAGCAAAGGGTGTATCCCCCGCAGTGACAGCGATGCCACAGCAGCAGCTCTTACCATTTGCTTTATGCTGGTTGAGGTATAGGCCTTTATAAAACTTGCAGGTCGAATTATCACCTTTGCAAACACCACATGCATCGAAAACTGCTTTAGAGCCGAGTTCATGATCGCATCCCACTGGCTGTGATGAAAAGGAAAAAAGTGAGAAAATCAAAGATCAGAGAAGCCAGTGGCTAAAAATAACTAAGGGGTCCATGGTTTTCTGTATTTACAGAACATTAGGAAACAGGTTCAGCTTTCCTGTTAAAAGCACAGCCTCGAGTTTGACTGACTAGAGGTCCAATTCCTTCCCCTGTCAATAGTAGATGCATAACTAGGCAAGTTTAACTCATCTACGGCTTAGACCCTTCTTCTGTAAAGCTGGAATAAAAAGTCACCACTGCTACTAAAGACAAGCGAGCTTATTCAGACTAGCTGACTGAAACTTAAAAATGTTAGACAACACACACATACGCACCATTAAAAGACCAAAGTGCTCACAACCGAATTAAGAGAAAGTAGACATCCGAAAAGAAAAATAAACAGTAGTATATCAAAATACATTTGAGAGGTTCTAATAACATAGTGAATGTACTTAGCAAACACTGGGCAAAAGTTTACTATTATTTACATTCTTAACTTTTGCATCTACTATGTAAAGTAGGGTATATCACCTCCATTCAATATATGTGGAAATGGAGTAAAAGAGAAACAAAAAATTGGACAGAGGTCATGTAGAAAGTAGGTGGGGAATTTGGAGACAGAGCTCACATCCAATTTGAACCCGTTGCCCTTTTTCCCCTATGCCGCCTACTTTTCTCCAGACAGAGAATCTCTTGCAACACTTGTCACGGCATGCATTTAACATGAGGAAACACAAACGTGATCAGACATCCCAAAGCAGAAAGGTTCTCTTACTTCACAAATCCCATCAATACAAACATCATTTTTGTTTGGGGAGCAAGGAGTTCCGTCTTTCACCTTGCCGGACATGGCAAAAAAAAATTCAAAGTTCTCAGCCTTGCAGTACAGTCTACATCGATCTTCCTCTAGAAGCAAAGAGATCAACAGAGGACATGGTCAAGAGGAAATCATAGGAAAATGACATGACTATCATAAGGATGAATTAGATTTATTTAGAATGCTATCATAAAGTGAAAAATATGTGCAGTTTTATGTATGGGTGTGTGTCGGCGCATGTGCGTGCATGAATACATATGAATGTGGTTTTTAAAATTGTGAATGTCATTTAACAACTCACATAAAACTGATTTAACATTAATACGTGGAATTTTAACTTTCTAATCCTCAGTAATAGCCATGATACATATATCAATGGGTTGTGTAGTTACTCTCCTTGGACAGTAAAAATTTGAGGCTTCATAGGCCCTATGATCTGCCATTGACGATATAGAAATGAAGGATTATTTAAAGTTCCGATAAACACACAATAGAATATATAGATGTCAAATTATAATGTACACCTGAAAATTATATAATTGTATTAACCAATGTTACCCCAATAAACTTAAAAAAAAGTTCCAATAAAACTTTATTTTAAAAAAGCAAGTCAGATTTGCCCCACGGGCCGTAGTTTGCCAATCTGTGTTTAGGACGTAGATTACTTTAGGTATTTATTCAATCTGTTAAGAGGGAAAAATTTAGGCATTTTGAAAAAAAAGGCAGATGGTAAATTACGTTTGTAAAACATACAGAGAAGAATCATATCATGAAAAGGAAGAAGCAGCAAAAAAACTAAACCTAAAGACTAAAAAAATATAATCTTTATTGATTGTTGTTTCCCAAAAGTTTCTGGTATCACAAGCAAAAGGGGAAAAAGTAATATATTTATAGAGCATTTGTTATCAGAAGGAAGTTATACTAATTTCTCAAGTAGAAAGAGTTCTTCTAGGCCAGGGACTCCAGGTGGCATCTCTCACATGATACTGAGTAGGCAACGCTGTGTGATAGCCCTGTTAACAGTCTCACAGCAAAGGTGTAAACAGTTTGCCGTTGTGCTTCATGAAACCTCTCGATAAAAGACAAAGCCAAAGACGAGAGGTTTAATTATTATGTTCCAAATATGCAGAAGTGTGGATGGATTAATTTTTCTCTCTCACTCAGAAATAAAAAAAGAAAATTAAATAGCTTTATTTAACACCTGCTGATTTTTACACATGAGATCAGGGAGCTGGAAGATACATAAGCTATCTCTTTTCTCCATCATTTCCAGGAATTAACAAGTTCTAGAAAGTTCCAATTTTCCAGCACAGGTTCCCAGGCAAGTTGTTAACTAGTCCATCAGAAACACAGAAGAAAAAAAAATGACTACTGTAAGACAAAGACAGGCTATGTTCATAAAGAAGTCATCCCTTGCTCTTCTCAAACTGCATGAAGTCACAAAACCTTGAAATCATGGTCAGTCTTTTCTGATTCTAAGGAAGCACCAAGAGTAGAAGAGGGAAGGAAGAGGAGGCTTTAGTTTTTCTGTCTCTCTCCACTAGGATGTGAGATCTTAAGGTCGGGGTCTCTGTTTGATTCGATGTAGTTTCCTCCGCATCTAGCAGGGGGTCTGCCATGCAGTCTATGCTGCTCAGCAAACATCTGGTGAGTCAGCGAATGAAATGGCAGCCTCCCGACTTAGTAAAAACTCCAAAAAAATTAGTGAAAGAACTTCGAAACCAAAAACATTTTGCAAGTTACAAAACGGATTGGCTTAATTTTCCCCTTATGTATTCAACACAGAATCTATATAAAGGATGATAATGATCTATTAACAGATTCCACAAACACTATATTTGAATGAAAGATGTAAAGAGGGAAAGGCCAAATATCCAAGAAGACAAAGCAAAGAACAAAAGGGGAAGTGAAAGGAAGGACAACAGTGTCTTGGAGAAAGAACCATGGATAAGAAACATGGAATTATGGGAGAGTACCACCAAGAGAGAATAAATCTTTAAATGTGAGAAGCAAAAGCAACTGCAGCTATTCTATCAAACTGTCCACTGATCCTGTTGTATAGTATCCTTTCTAGGCAGCTACTCAGTTCCTGATAGAACGCCCCAAGTGATGGGGAGCTTACAACTCCTAAAGGACATACATACTTCCATTATGGATATTTATTCCTTTTAAAGTATAAATATGTGCTAAGTGCTGTTCTTAGGTATTGGAGATACAAGCATACTCAAAATGGACAAAGGTTTTGTCCCTGTGGAACCTAAATTCTAGTGGCGAGAAAGGTAATAAATAAGTGACTGTATAATATAAATTCACGTGCTGAGAAGAGCTATGAAGAATAAAGCAGGTTAAGGGTTCAAAGGAACATATGAAAAAAGGATATTTTGGATAGGACGGCAAGGAAGGTTCTCTCTGAGGAGGAGATATGGCTAGGAAGTTCTTAGTCCTTGAATTAGCTGTATTCACTGAAGCTATTCCAAATAAATATAAATATCCCTTCTATTCGATAGCTCTTTGAATTTTTGCAGGGAACTAATTTCATTTCTATAGGAAATATCTATATAGATCCCTCAGTGTTTCCACCTAAGACACAGATTTTAGAATTTTTGTGTCATCTTGATCTGTGTTTTGGGTATTCATGATCTAGAAGCAGATCAATGCTCCTGCAGTGGCTGGTCTGGTGCTGAGCAAAGCTGTGCTATCATCTTCTTTGATCTGAGGTCCCACCTGTTAGAATTATGCCTCTAATTACATTAGCTCCTCTGTGATTATGGATAACATAGGTGCGTTGTTTTTGCACAGGAACAGCGTAGAAAGAGTTCTTCTAGGCCAGGGACTCCAGGTGTTTTTGCACAGGAACAGTCCTGAGTCTTATTTCCCATGAACTGTCATTAAATTTAGTCTCTATTTTACACATTTGTACTTGGAATTCATGGTTATCCTTTTTCAAGAGAGTATGGAGGAGTTTTAATAAAGCGAGTGAATGGAATTAACAGAAAGGAAACAACTAGAATATATGGCAGCTTATTCTGCATAGGTAATAGAAAGTACATTAAATTTTTATATTATAACTAAAATGTTTTGATGCTTAACCAAAATAAAAACAAATTATAAAGTAAAATAAAAACCACTACTTTGTCATAATTAGTACTAACAACTTAATATGCATACATATTTTACTCATGGGCATGGGTGTGTGTGTGTGTGTGTGTGTGTGTGTGTGTACACACCCTGAAAATAGGCCTTCCCATTCTTGTAATCATCTAATATGTCAGTTACTGAGTACGGTGTCTCTATGGGGCATATATGGTTTCACGAGTTTTTGGTCTGGTTAATTCATACCAATTTCAATTAACATCCCTGGGAGACTTAACTGCTGAAATGTCAAAGGTAAGTTTAGAAATATAAGTGCATTCCAAACACATGAACACTTTGGCTTACAGATGTGGGAGACAAGGAGTGTCTTGCGAAAAAAACAAGTGTGGAAAAATAAACACAACCTATGGAAGTGAATTTAAAAATGGGCCAAGACAGGTCTGGGATTGTAAGTTTTCATATAGGCAGTAAGTCCTTCAGTGTTGCTCATTCGCATCACCGTCCACAGAGAAACATATTTACCAAATTACCTTCCACTTCCGTGTAGGGCTTCCACTGGTAGAACCATCCACGGAAAGGTTTGCTGTTGTATTCTGCGCACTGCTGGGCTCGAAAGTCCAAACTGTTTTCATTACAGGGGTTGATATTGCACAGCTGATAAATACGGCTAGAACCTGGACAGAACTTGCCACCATACTGAGGCCTAAAAATAAAATCAAAGAACTTTAATGCTAGCAATCAAAGGACTGTTAGTCACAGGCAGTGACATGTGGAGGAACAATCCAGATGAGCACTGTCATAGCGCATGCAGTCTATTATGAAAATGGAAGGACGTAGCATATGACTTGCCACATCTCTTCTTGTACCCATGGCAGACATGGCAGATTCCTCTCAACACAACCCTCTCAAGTAGCCACGCCCAATGCTCATCAACTGGACTTGGTGTGTTAGATCAAACTTATTTGCTATCTCTGATCCACTTTTTACATTCTGGCAATTTCCTTAAAGACCAATGAAAGCGTATTCTTGATATTCATCACATCATTTTAGTTTTTGGAAATCTGTAAATGCACCTCAATATTCTTATTAATGTACATAAATACACATACCCCCTATATTGGCATCAAAGCTCTTCGAATGTGAACCCAGCCTACTCTCCAGCTCTTCTCCCATTTCTAAACACTCGTCCTCTCCCTACCGTTAGCCCTGCACCTGCTGCTATGTAGAAGGTCAGGACACTGGGGAGAAAGAGCAGAAAACCCCCTTGGCCATGTTTTCAATCCAGCTTTGTCAGTCACGGAGCCGATATTTTGATTATGGTCTGACTCTTGTGTGTTTTATTCAAATTCATTCGAAACTCCAAGGCAAAATATTCCCTTGTTTTCATCTGCACAATCACATTTTAACTTTGCAGGTGGCCTACTCCTTTCTTGACAAGCGCAACGGGAAATGGGTTTGTGAGTAGGGAATCCCATCAGGACATAAATAATTTTATGATCTAATGGCAAGCTCTTTAGGATCTTGGTAGGCAGGCTGCGAAATCAAAAAGCAAAATAAAAACGGAGCACAAACCACACTGAAAATTGCCAATAACATCGTATCCAGCTTACTCCAGGCACAAAGCAATTGCTTCTTTTCATTCCCACTTTTTTGTATTTTTCTCAAAAGGCTAACACCCAACGATGGGCCGTCTCACACAAAACCTCAATGCAAACATGTAACATGAAAGAAGGCTCCAGGTCAATAAATTTATGGGCTTAAAATTCTTTGTCTCTTTAGGAAGCACAAGAATGCTATAAAACACCCCTGGATTTGCTTCAGCATATTTTATCAAATCCTCCCATAACAGCATGCTAAAATGGATTCAACAGAAACGGGAAGTGTCACACTGCCAGAATGAGATTTTTCTATTTCAAAACATTCTGGGGTAACTACTTAAACATTCAGCAGTCCTTGCACTAGATCAAATCCCTGAGGACTTCTTAAATCATTATCTAAAAAGCATTTAGAAAAACCTTAAAGTACCATCTGACAGCCTTACTATTCCTGGTCATCTTTACGAGGCATATTTAAAACTCAGTGTGAGACTCAGATTTTACAAATAACCTTCATTTAGTCTATTTAAACTTAATAAAGGGAAAAAGGACCCCATGTGTTACTTTTTCAACTCAGAAACTATAACATGGAAAAGACCTCAAAACTCACATAGCCATCCCCTCACTTTATAGGCGATGTGAGAAATGGCTGGTAGAGCTCACAAAACTTGCTGAGTAAAGTTCACACGGAAGAGAGCAGAGCCTAACCTCATCTCTTGATTCTTCAGGATTCTTTTCCTACTGCACTCTGCCTGCACTTAACTGAGATAGGCAATAGGACCAGGGCTTAGAAGAGGAAGCAAATAATGCACAATGGTCAGGGAGCTGGCCTTTTATAAACGGGCAGACCTGGATTTTAATATTCTCTGCCTTTCCCCAGTTTAACTTTAGGCAATTTATCCTCCTAATCAGTAAAGTGAAGGCAATTTTGACAATTAACTGAGATAACATTTGTAAAGAATTTAGGGCCGGCTAGGGCAAAGTTAGCACAAATAAATAGTAACTATTTTAAAATTCTTTCTACATTTAATGACTGGCAAGAATTTGGACATCTCCACCAAATCCCCCAAAACAGGTACATTTTTTTGCAGCTCTGAACATGACTGTTGGGATAAATTAACAGGAAATTCTACCATGACATCCTTTGGTGTAATAAGTTCGTTAAGATCAGAAACAAAAATATAAACAGAAATGTCTAGGCACATGATTTTGTCTTTACATTAGATTATTATAAAGTATACCCATAATTTGCTTCTGCATAATTATCTAGTCCTTCCTATAAATGGTTATAATGTTTGCTGCTGGCTGATCATTGGAATCACTTGGGGAGCTCTGCTAAATACACACACACACACCTCTGCACGTACACATCCACGCACACGTTCCTGGGCCCTCCACAGACATTCTCAATAAGAATATATGATGGGGAAGAGCCAGAAATCAGTTTTTTAAAAGCACACCTGGTGATTCTGACAATCAGCTGAGCCTGAAAATTACTGGTTAGAAAAAGAGCCAGAGATTTGATTCGATTATTAGTCTGAAGCTATGACTCTAGTGGCATATCATTCTTTCTTAAATAGATTAACATTTTATGAAAGTTCTAGAATGCCTTAGCACGTTTAATTTTCACTATTTTAATTTCATTATTTTCTTGAACAGAGTTTATAGGAATTTCACTAGGCTCTCTTTAAGTGTAATGAGTCAGGGAACCAAGAAAAATGTCAAAGGATTAAGACTGTGGGCTCTTGGTCTGACTCTATTATGACAAGCTTGGTGACCTGGGCAAGAGTTTCTTCTATGAATGGGACCCTCTGCCACCCCTGGTTACCCCCTGTAAAATAACTGGATTAGACTACAGGTTGCAACTCACATATCTGTTCTAACCTGACTGGGGGGAAAAAAAATGTGTGGAGAAGTGTTTGGAGAAGGTTGCTGAGGGCTCAGTAGAAAATAAGGCTTTCATCAATTAAAAATGTCTGTCATAGACATGGGAAAAAGAAGAAGGGTCACGTGTATCTGGTACTGGCCATCCAGAACGAGATAATCTATAAACTCTCTTGAAGCTGAAAGGTTTGATAAATCCATGAATCAGCCAGAAATGATTCATTTTTGATGCAACAAAAATATGTTCTGGAAAAACTATCATTGTGTGAAATAAAAAGCTCACACTGCTTTTACCATCAAAAAAATAAAAATGGTTAGTCTGAGTGATGTGAATAGACCAAATGTTCAAATTGAAAGAAGAAATCAGTAACTTGAAATAAGGAGGAAAAAGCAGCTTTACTATAATAAAGTGAAATAAGAACAGGGAACTAATTCAATTGTCCTAGGAAAGCTGATTACTTGTTTTATTTGTGACTTAAAGCTTAATTAAAGCAAACAGTACCCTGATTAGCTTTAATCTTTTTAAAATGATAAAACTGCACCAAGTGGAACTACTTTAGTGATTAATTTTTCTATTAGACATCTCTAAAATTACAATATGGTATTTCCATGAACAATGCCCTATTATAATAAGAGTTCTCAATCCCACAGATATGGGAGAGGTTTTAATTTAAATCTCGGGGGCATCACTCATGCACTTTACCAGCAGAGCTATTAAGTTAGGTAATCTATTTATTTCTTGGGAAAACAGCAATTGTAAAATGTTGTGATGTATGAAAACCAGATCCATGAACTATGCTGCAAAAATGAAAAGTAATATAATGAATTTTAACAATTCTATCCAAGACATAGGCTATGTTCAAAGTACAGGAGAGTGGTTTTAATAATCTGGTTTAAATTGTAACTGCATCATAAACCTCCCTACAATTATACATAATTACTGGGTCTGATCAGAGTAGTAAGTCTCAACTGGGGAGGACTTTGCCCCCTACAGGACTTTTGGCAATGTCTGGAGACAGTTTTGGTTGTCACAACTTGGAGGCTTGGTGGGAACAAGAGTCCTCCTACTGGCTTCTAGTGGGTAGAGACTAGGGATGCTGCTAAACATCCTGCTATGCACAGGACCAACCCCTACAAAAAAAAAAAATTTCCACCTTAAAATGTTAGTAGTGCCAACGTTGAGAAATGTTATATTAGTCTGAGATATCCCAAAAAGCCCCTAACAAACCACGGTTTATGTATGTCCTAACTCTCTCTTATATTTTGGAACAAATTGACCTTTTGATCCAGCTCAGCCTGCATTCACATGAAGTATTATTTACTATTTTAAAAATTTCCTTGGGCTCTCGTTTCGTTATTTTAGTTCTCAATCTACCAAACATTTTAATGCAATGTTTAGTACCTGCTAGGCACGCATAAAAAGCACATTATAAATATTAACTCAGTTGAGGAAGGTGCTATCTTTATCCCATTTTGGCAAATGAGAATGCTTGAGCAGGGAGAGTTAGTTGTCTTGCCACAGAGTTAGGAAGCGGTGGGCCAGGAAGATCTGGGTTATTGGGATTAAGTGTGTATTCCTACCCTCCATGCTATGTCACCACTCAAATCATGTTGTAAAATTAAATCCACTATTTTCCAATGTCCCATCACATTCTCCTCCATAGCATTTTCCAAAGCCCACCCTCACTAGTAAGGCCTCTCCCCACTACTGCTCAGGGCTGGCCCTCTGTGACCCTGTGTTCCTTCCTGGTGAGTTTAAGATGAAATGAGGAAAACCACATGCACCCCAGAACCTTTTGTTGAATGCCCACTGGACACTCCTCAGTGTGTCAGACATTCTACAGATGCAATTTTTAATCCTTCCCAAAACTTCAGAGGTGGGTATTATTATCTCCATTCTGTACATAAACCCAAGCTCAAAGTTCATGTGACTTTCTCGAAGTCACACATTTAATAAAGGGCAGACCAAAGATTTGGAGTCAGCTCTGTCTCCAAAACCTGGTTCTTTCTAAATAACCATGCCAATCATGATTCATGTGGGAATTCGAGCAGATAAAAGTAACATCAAACCACCTTCTTTTTCCTATAGAGCTAACTGAAGTTCAGAATCCTAGTACTAGACCAAAGGGTACCCACAGGTGCCCACAGGCCAATTTCAACCCGCAGATGTTTTGATGAGTCCTCAGCTTTTGTTTTTTGTTTTTCAAAGAAAATTGAATTTGTCATCAATAGTTTAGGAATTGGGAAATTTTACATACAACTTTTTTTTTAGATTTCTGGTTTCTCTTGAAAAGTCAGGCAGATCTGTCAACACATGTTGATGTACATTCCTGCAGCGCAAAAATCGGCATACTTTCTCCAGATCATCAGTTTGAGAGGGACACACAACTCTACCAGCCAAGCTTCTCTGTTCCACAATATCACAGGCATTCTGTTGCGTGACTTTATAGCCCTAATTTAGATTCAGAAAGTAGCTCAGACCATTACTGGAATCCTTGATCATATTCACATGTAGAATAACTCCTTCACCGTTTTTCAGTTTCTGTCCACCGTACCTCCCCGCCAGTGCATACGACCTTTCTAGGCAAACGGTAAAACCCTAGTTGATGGCTGTGAACTGGACAGAAGAAAAGCACATTTGAAAACAGGGTGTGAGCAAAACAAAGCAGCCAGTAAGTCACAGGCTGAAGGCTATGACCTCACGAATGCTTTCTGCTGGAGTCTTACTTGGGGTTATTGCAGTGTCTCTCTTGATATCTGACGCCTCCACCACAAGTTCTGGAACAGTCTGACCACTTCGACCAGGCAGACCACTGGCCGTGGATGGGCCGGGGCCCATGCTCCCCGAACTTCACACACTGGCCTTGCCGACACCACTGTGAAAAGAATATGTGACATGTTTCTTGTTAGAAACCATCCAGGAAAGGGCAAGGAGTCATAAACACTTGCATGTTAACAGGAAAAACGAGTCTGCTGGCAAGTGGAAGATCGCATGACACCTTGATAGAATTCCTTTGCTGGCTGTGCTTTACAAACATTCGCTTAGTCCACGTTTACCACATGCATTTTGAAAGGCTGACATCGAGAGAGAAGGGGCATCTGTCACCAATCGGCTGAGTATTATATTCTTTGTGAGCTGCGGAGGTGAAATGTGCAGATGTGATTCCATCTGACGCCAGCGGAGTCAGAGCAGGCAGAATGTCAACCGAGCCTCTCCGAACACTTAGGAACGAGGCTGCTTAGAGAACAGTTTGGATCACGTACTCTGGGAGAACCAGCTTTTAAGATATTAACACAGAATTTATGATTCTGGATGAGTATCTCATCATTAAAATAGATACAATCACGCATACATTTTTGTTTATCCCATACCATCCTAGAAATCATTTCCTATAAAACTAAATAGCTTTCAGTCAATGTGAATTGTGCTTTTAGATAACACCCTTTGACCTTCTGTCTGTCTAAAAGGACCCTGCTTAAGACCCTCAGATGACTTTGAACTCTGAGCGTTTTTTATGAATTAGCTCTGGGTCTTTCATTTGCCAATGATCTGCTCAAGCAGGGTGAGAACTGTTTCCTTCGCTGAACTTTCCGTTTCAGTCCTTTGTAACACATACCAGGCTTTGCTGGTCATCTCTGTCCTTGGGGGCTGCATTAGCCTCTGGTAGTGGTTTTTTTCCTGCGGTGCTTTTATTATGAGCTAGTTCTGCATGACTTAGCATAACCGCACACTCTCCTAAAAGCCTCTGCAATTAGGTTTAAAGGGTTGGGGTTTAAACGGTGCCAGGTTCTGCTGAGGAGTGGGGGTTCAGTTCCAGAATTATGGGGAGGGTGGTTGACTTTCAAATTTTCACCTTTCCCCCATGGCACATCTGGCTTTGTGGCTGTTTATTGTGTTGCTAGTTGTCTAGGTCCAGATATTGCTTCCTATCTTCAAATTCTTGCCATGTATTGATTAATTCTTCTGTTTTTAATTTTTCTTTTCCTTGGATTAATTGCCATTTCAGAGACTGCATGTCATATAACATTGTTGAGAACTTTGGGAGGAAAAGCAATCAGCCATTTGAGGATTTTTGTCTACCGTAAGCATGAATCTGAATCTTCCCTACCAGGAGAGTTCCTGGGACTCTCCTGGACTGAGCTCAGTGGCTGAGACAAAATAATAACAACAGCCAACAAGAGAAGCAGCTTCAGTTTATTAAGTTGCTCTACGTGCCAGAAATGGTGCAGGCAGGGAGAGGAGGGAGGATGTCACGTGCAGCATCTAATATAATCCTAAGAGCTTAGGAGTAACTATTTTCTGGATGAGGGAAATTATTAAAGAAATACCCAAGTAGCTACACAACCAGCTGAGAATGGATTTAAATTCAGTAGCCAAAGCTCCTAAACAGGACACAGAGCTTTCTCACCTCAGAGACAAATTGCCCACTGAGCTATCTTACCTCTAATCTAATTTCTTTTTCAGAAATGTGTTTTTTAGACCTGTTCCAACCCTTCAATTATTTTGATTTTCTTTTTTTTCAGGATTTATCCAGTATTGGGTTAGGATACTGACAGTCTCCTCTGGGTTTTTCAACCAGTATAGGAATCAAGAACATATAAGTATGTGCAAACATGTACAATCCACATGTATGTATAAAATTCTACATATAACATGTAAATGTAAAATATATACACACATAACTTTATCTGTCCATACATATGTATTTCTAGCACTGCTTCTAATTTCAAATTGAATGGCCATGACTCAGGTAAATATCTTTCATGACAGAGAGCAAGCACAAACCTTTCTTTCCTTGTACATGTCATCTAGATAAAAACAATGTGGCTTTCACAGCCTCACATATCTACTGAGCATTCATGGTACAAATATTACTAAAGAACCAGGGAAAGACTGGAGAAGGATGGAGCAGGATTTGGTTGGGTTCTAGTTATGGAAAAACAAACAAAACATGGAGTAGATGCAACTCTGCACGAAACTTGAGATACAGCATGAGTGAGATGCAGCCCTGGCCTCATGGAGTTTATGGTTTAATAGCCAATTGCATCCCCCAGTGAAGGGAGACTCAGAGAATCACATATGTAAATGAGGAATAATTATACTGAAGTGATGATGGATAAAACTTATAAGAATGCTTTCTACTTAGGCTGGCCTTACAACTGAGGGCTTTTCCCCAGTATTTATATTGGTCTTTTAAAATAATGAGGTAGGAAAAGTAGTATTAGGACATCATCCATTTTCTAACTCCTGGGTTGATTTGTCTCATGTTACATTAACTTAACTCTAATCCAGGGGCATTTTCATCCCCATGCAACTAGATATCGGGTGTATTTATGTAATAAACCTTAGACCTAAACCAGTGAGCACTCATTTTTCTCATTTATTTAAACCTTAGACCTAAACCAGTGAGCACTCATTTTTCTCATTTATCGATCTTTTCTTCTATATCCCTTTTACGCTTAATATCATTGCTTTCTTAACAAAAAAAAAAATCCCCATTAATCCTCAAGTTGCCAGTTCTAAATTTGTTTGCTTTAAAAATAAAAATGACTTGATCAGTACCTACATTTTCAAGTACTCAATTAATTCACTGTTTTGCATCATCACAGTTAAAAACTCCTGTGCACATGTTCAATAAGAATCTTTATTGGGATTTCTAAAGACAGGTGCATCTGATTAAAAATTGCACGTAATGCCTCAACTTTTAAAATGTTTTTCTTTAAAAGAGCTAAAAATTGCAAATCGTTTAAGAGAGGTTGAATAAACGACTTAACAAATATTAGAAAGCATTTTCTGACACTCATTTTCGTGTCTGTATCTTGCCTTTATTGTTAGATAAATGTTATTCCAACATTCGTCCTGGTGCACACACTCATTGTAGTTTATTCTAAGTGCACACCTAATCCCAAGCAAGGTTCACTTCTCATGCATTTGGGCCTGCTTAAAGCAATTCAAGAAGTTATGCTTAAAAAGAAAGAGTTACTGGCTTCTACACAGGTTGTCCCACTTGACTGGGGATTCCTGAAGAGATAAAACTGAGTTTTATTCATCTCTATAGCCCGAGTTTTCTGTCTATGATACCTAGTAGTCAGTAAATTATTGTGGAATTGAATTCACTTTAAACAACCAATTCTTCTCTGCAGGCTTGTGCTGCCTCAAGACAACAAAAGCAGACATCAAAATCCTGTAACATCTCATGCTCTTACATTATTCAGAGCTCCCCTATCACAGTCTTTCAAAGGAATACCCCAAATCTGGATCACTTTACTGGTACCTCAAGTGCACCTTTCCTTCCAGATTCTACTGGGAAAAAGAAAGAAAAATAGAAACTAATATATGAGTTCTTCATTCAAAACACAGAAATCTCCCATAATCTTCCATAATGGAAATGACTCTTAGGATTGAAGACACTTGCTGACAAAAAGACTGTCCAGTACATTCTAGATGGAGATGTGGCTTACTCTTCAATAAGAGTCACTATAAGTGATGAGACTCTATTGGGCATGTTAGAAGCTCAATGATGGGTCCTGTGAGGTAATAGAGGCCTCATATGACATGATAATCATTTCTCTGCTACTCAAAGGGACACCTGCTCCCTAAGGCTTTTCTATACAGAATCAAGTTTGAAAAGGCAAATGGTGTGCAATGAAGTATACCAGCTCACTGAAATAGAAATATTTTGACCTAAGCCTCCATCTAAAAATGGAAAACAAAGGGAAAAAGGAAAAAAAATCTTCTTAAACAATTGAGCCAACTGGGTTATGTCTGGCATTGAGTTTTATGATAGCTGCTAAATAATACTGGTTAATATAAAGAGAAGTCAGAAAATATATGCAGCCAAGGAATTCTATTCTGAAGTCACAGTACAAACAGTTTGGGTTCTATGCTTTATCAACTTTCTAGAACTAAAAACTAACAAGTATGCAGTTTACCATACTCAAGCCACAAACGGTCCCTTCTGCTGCTGGCATAAACTTGGTCTCACACCTGTGGCCCAGTCGGTGGCACCAAAGTGATTTGCAAATGTCCTGAAAGGAAAGAAGGATCTGGTCAGTGTGATAATACAATACATAGGAAAATATCCCAAGTCTTTGTGCCCAAAATTATATTTTCAGCTGGTCGAAATGAGTCATTATCCAGAAAGTAGAGGCAAGTGAGGTTGAGGCTGGTGTTGGCACGGTAACCGGTATCATGTTCTGGCCAATGTGCAAGCAGGAAGTTTCTACGCTACCTGCATATTCATGCGTGTTCAGTAATGACTGGGATGTAACAATAACTAATTTAAAGACCATTTGTCTTGAAACTAAGAGACTTGGTTTCTAATAATCACCATCACTAACACTGCCACCACAGCTGCCGAAGCAGAATAAGCCAAGACTGAAATAAAGCAAGCCTGATTCAAATCCTTGTCCTGGAATTCTGGGTTGCATGCCCTGTGGACATGTCATACAAGCCTTTCAATGAGTTTCTTCCCCTGAGGAAGAGTGACAAAATTAGGACTTGCCCTTGTAGGGTTCTGCTCAAGGGTAAATGCTGTGAATAATCGTTTTCCTTACTTCCTTTATCTTTACAGTAATTCTCAAGCATGAGACAATTTAATTTTTACACTAGACCTATGAAATAATTACACGTCCTTGCTAGACTGTAGTAGGCAGAATAATGTCCCCGCCCCTTGCTCCAGCCCTCCAACTCCCAATGAGCACATCTTCCTAACCCCTGGAAACTGGAGGTGTGAGGTTATAAAGCAGAGGGGAATTAAGGTTGCTAATCAGTTGACTTTGAGATGGGGAGCCTATCTCAGACTTCCCAGAAGGTAATAACAAGGATCTTTAAGTGGGGAAGAGGAAGAAAGAACTGGGGAGAGGGCAGCGTGAGGAGGACTCAGGGGGATGCCGGCAGCTTTGAAGTTGGAAGAAGAGGCCATGAGTCAAGGAATGCAGGAGGCTTCTAGAAAGTAGAGAAGGCAAGAAAATGGCTTCTCTTCTAGAACCTCCAGAAGGAACACGACCCTGCCAACATCTGATTTTAGCCCGGGAAGACTCATTTCAGATATCTACCTCCAGCAATGTAATTACAAGAATAAATTTGTGTTGTTTTAAGTCACTAAGTTCTTGGAAATTTCTTACAGGAGCCCTAGGAAACTAATACTGTTACACCATTTAGTGGTGAACACTAAACCAATTCCTTAGGTAAACTCATTCGGGTGAGGAAACGGAGTAAGCTACGGACACTTTTGAAACCATGAGTCACGCAGCCGGTGAATGGCAAAGGTAGGACTCAAAATGGCCCGATTCCAGAGTCCAGGTTTTTGATCACTGCTCTGGACCTGCATTTTCCATTAACAGATGTTAGAAAGCTCTCGTCTTCTCCAGGCCTCAGTTGCCCATCTATAAAGTAAGGGGACTGAACCAGATTCCTTCCAGCTCCCACAGCTGAAGCTGCTCTTGAGAATTACATCACTAATAGAGTGCCAAAATTGGGAAACATCAAAGCCATTCCATTTTGTTTGCTACATTCTATTTACTAAGACAGAAATGTGAACATATACATTTGGGGGAAAATATTAACAACCAGAGAGGAAGCAAAATGATTTTTGTGGTCACTGGTTATAACCCTGAAAATTCAATTAACCAGGCACCCAATTACTCAAGCATGCCGGTTAATACAGATTCCATGGTTAGACAATATGGCAAGAACATGCTTAGAGATATTTCACAAAAGTTTTCCACAGGACTGAGAAAAGAAAACATAGGGAAATCAGAGATATACAGTGAATCTGCTCTTATAGCCCATAAAATCCTGCCCCCACAAAGGAGAATAGAAGGATGTTTAGGACACTGCATGGAAATGCCAACAGCCCCAGATAGACGCCACCCACATTGTTCCCAAACTCCAAACAGCTCATAAGATGCAACACATAAATGTTTCACATTAAAATGGACCCACCACTGACATCGGTAGAAAGCATAAGGCAGCCTTCCAACCAAGTGAAATCAGGTTCCGCCATCTCTGTCCTGCCATATTGGGTCTGAGGGGGACAAGTTAATGTGGTAAAAGAACAGATCATTTAACTTTCGGTGGTGAACACACAGTGCAATCTGTGGCGCACTCTTGAATTGTACACTTGAAACTAATTTAATTTTATCAATGTCACGCCAATAAGTTTAGTAAAAACAAGAGCCTACGTCAAAATGGAAGAATGTGATGTAACCATTGAAACAATTAAAGCCACAGTGAGAAAGGCTTTCAGAATTAAATTGTTTTCCTTCTTACAGCCAGGGGAAAACCATAAGCCACATCGGAGCCTATGTGGCAGCCACCAACATGACCTTAGGACAGAGAGGAGCAAAGAGCTCTCGGTTCCACAGCCAATGCCAAGCCACGGGGCTCAGGAAAAGGGGGCAGCCGGAGAAGACCAGGAAAATAAGGCCGAACACAAAAACACAGGATTCCAGAGTGAAATAAGGCTGTACCAACATGTCATTTCTTTTGTGGTGAAGTACAGAAGTCACATGTAATTATAGCCAACTGCATGCCTGGATGACCGTGAGAGCCCTCTGAGAAAGCTCCCTTTCAAAGTAAACAGAAATGAGAGTTTGCACTTTTTTGCTTGTTCTTCCTTCTTTTTTTTTCTTTTTTTCCAACATATTCGACTAACTTGTCCTTATCTATAATTCTCTAGGCTTAGGTCATAATTTAAGGGAAAAAGAAATAACCACAGAGACTTCGAGATCTCATGTTGCCTGGATGTGATTTTTGAGGAAAGAGTCTCAGTGCTTTACATTATTCCATCCTGTCACTCCTTGGTCATGTTCTCCAGCTGTATTCCACAGGACAGAGGCCCCTTCATGTGAAACCTGACATACTAAAAATGTTAATGGTCTTTGCAAATCAAATTTTATAAAGCATCTCAGACTTAACACATCTAAAACGAAATTCCCCATCTGTCCCCCAAAACCTGTTCCATGTTCAGCCTTCCCCAGCTCACTTTATGACACCTCCATACTGCTCATTACTCAATCAATAAATCCACGACTCGCATTTGACTCCTTTCTCCCAGATAAGTCACTCCTGCTTCCTTGAAGAGAGACGAGAAGGGGACAGAGGCAAAAATCCTCCACTTTATGAAAATGGGAGTGCTAAGAAATGTTTTATTTGGTTACCATTGAAAATTCAATAAATAATTACTGAGTATCTGCTCCTATGTCAGGTGCATGCTGGGTACCGCGGACACGCTCCATCTACCGGGGCAAGAGACATGGACAGTTTTACTACAGTATCGCAAGTTTACGATGGTGACATACAGGGTGAAAATGGAGCCTGGAGAAAGGAGTGTTGAAATATCCTTGGGGAATGAAAAGGGGTAACACCTTTTCATTTATATTCTTTATGCCTTGTATGAGACCTGATCATTTGCATTTCTACCAAGTTCCAGGTGATGCTAATATTCTCCATCTGCTGATTTGAGAGGACACTTTGAAAATTATTTCCTGTTTTTTTTTCCTTTTTTTTTTCTTTTGTTATTTCTAACCACTATGCAAAACTGCCTTTCTAGGAAGCATAGAAAAAAAGGCATTAAGGAGAAAAGGTTAGAAAGGGATCATAATGATAAGACACTGAAAACAAACTTCATCCTTTTTGTGTGTGTTGCTGGAGCTGGTCTAACCGTTGAGACTAACAGGATAAGAGATTTAGTTGTTTTGAAAACACCTCCTTCTTAGGGCCTGGCAGGGAACTATTCATGATCCTCAGAGGTGTTATCATGGTTCAAATTATAAGTAGGTTTAGGAATAATACCAAAAGCTAGGATGTGGGGGAAAAAAAATATTCCACATTTAAGACCCACCAACCAACCCATCTTCTCCATCTTACCTCATCACCTCAACAATCTCTCTTAAGTAAATTTCCCTACCCCTCCAGGCATTCCTCTCTATGCCTTTCCTTATTTTATTCAGTCCTCTAGTCTGGAATTTCCATTTCCCTTTGCTCTGCTTCTAGGGAAGATCATTATACTGAGATTCTGTATTTCAAAAACTTGGTGTGGATCCAGAAAAAGATCTATAATTTAAGAATAGTTGTTTTAAGCCCCGCACAGTCTGACACAGAACAGGCATCCCACAAATGTTTACTGAATGTATGATCCTGAAGGAATGATAGTAATTTTAGAAACTTCCTTTATATGTCTAAAGGAAATCTAACTCGTTGCCAATTGTGCATTTACTGTATAGTAAGTGCTTAATAAATATTTGATTAATGAATAAGCTAGCGAATCCCTTAAGAATGAGTGAACAGGAAACAAAGGTAGCAAACTTCAACAAAGTGAATGACTACTTCTGTCAAATGCATCAACTTAATAGGCTATTTGAAACAGTTGTAAATTTGTTAATTTATACATATCATACACCAGTGTTTGCAAAGTAAGGTTCTTGTATCATGGAGGATACACCAAAAAAATTGTAGATGCTGTATGCATAAACTTTTCTAATACTTATACCTTTACACTGTATCAGAAAAAAAAATGTAATTCCATATTAAACCTGTGATTTGATGGTCATTATTTCTTAGGACTGGACTTACATATTTTTAAGTGAGTTGATTTACAGAAAAGCAACGAGTGAACATAATATAGAAATACAGGATAACTAACGAAGGTAACTGTTATGAAGTTCAGGAAACACTTATTAACTAATGGAGAGAAGGAAACTAACATCAGTGTGGGCAATGCCTTTTGTTTAGGTTCAACCTGTGGCTTGGGCAAATTAAACACATTCTCTGAGCGCCAGGCAAAAAGTAGTGATACTTCTCACTTCAAATGTGTTTTTTGTGAACATTGAGGAAAATAAAAGAAGTCTAAGTAGAATGCCTCATGTGGAGCAGAGGTCACTTAGCAACTGCTGAAGGTGATGGTGGTAAACGGTGAGGAAGTGGTGAAGAAGGTGGATGGTGGTGCTGGTGGTAATGACAGTGGTGAGAACGGTGGTGGCTGGTGGGTAGAGGAAGAGGCAGAAGAGGAGTAGAAAGAGGAAGAGTAGGAATAAAGGGAAAAGGAGCTATAAAAGTCCATAATTTCCCTGTATCCGCAACTTAGGATTGCCATGCTTCTGTTTGGAAACTAGAAATAAACCAACTTAAAAACGATTCTATTTTTTTTAGTGATGTTGAGATCATCGGCGATGTAGTTCTTGATCAACTGTGTTTCTCTCATTTCTACAGCCTCAACTTTTGCTTTTGCTCATCTATCTCACAATACTGAATGAAAGACTTGACACAAATATCTGAAGATTACTCAAGATACATCTTGAATTTTTATGTATCGAAAAAGTTGGCTGCCAACAATAGTGTCCATATAACATAAAAGGCATTTGAACGTATGTATGAGGTGGTGATGATTTTAAATGTATCACATTAAGTGGGAGCATAAACATAATAATACCAAAAACAGAGATGAGAAGTAGGTAAAAGCTATTGTGCTCAGATTTACTACTTGTGATAAAAATCTTCATCCACAGCGGAGGAATTTTCTTCCAAGGATGCAGTCAGATAGTATTTAAACCGGGCTTGCTCCATGGAGGATAAGCCTGGATAATTCATTGATGGCAAAATTGCCGCTTAATTATTGTGCCAAACAACTGACATTTTTGAGATAACCCAGACTCTAACCCTTGGCCTTAGCAAACCAAATGTTTATACTTCTATTAGGTACACAGACACATTGCAGAATCTTAATGTAAGTTCCAAATCACAAGCAAACATACCTTCACAAAACCAAGGCTGCATAACTTGGCTTTTGCTCCAAATTGCCACTTGCACTGTGTGTCAGCATCATAAATCTGTCCTGGTAGTTTGTCCGGATATTTATACTGTCCTGTTTGCTTGGGCTCATCCACCAGACACCCAGCCTGAGGTGTACTGCAATGATAACACATCCTTATAAATGGCCATGCTTATCTGTGATATTTCCACATAAAACAATATACCTCTGAGTGCATTCATGAAAGAAAAATATAACATGGCTAAAGAAATAGGTGTGAGCTTAAAGTTAAAATGTATATTTATTCCAAAGAGTGAGTCCTGTCCTGTTTAAGAAGATGGAATTCACACAGCCACAAAGGGTCCCACGGTACTGGAAGTTATTGCTATCCGAGAGATCTGGCTTGGTCTGCTAAGAGATGGGAAAGGTAAATCTATCTGAGAACCTCTAACAATCTTGTTCAACAATATTCAACAAATTGTATCGAGTACCCACTCTGTGAAGAGCGTTAGGCTAAGCAATAAAAGTGAACCAGAAGAGACAGTATCTGTCTTCATAGAGTTGAAAGTCATGCTATGTTTTTTACAGATAATGGGGCAATGGTCAAACATGTACTTTACTTCAAATAATTTTTACAAGCAAAATTGAATAAGGCTTTTGAAAGGAATAAGGAGAAAGGACACATGGGGGCAAAGGGCAAAACAATTTCCTTGAGGTAGTTTTAACTGGGATATACAGAGGGAAAAAAAATCAGTTGATGGCATGGATATTCTGAGAAAGCACTCATCTCCTTTTACTTAATTACACTATGATATCAATGAGCGATTACACAGCATGGTGGTTAGGTGTGACTCTGGAGTCAGACAGATGGGGGTCCGAGACAACCACGCAACCAAGACCAATTCTATACATCTCATTTCTGACAATGACTCCCACAAAAGTTGTTATACAGCTCAAACGGGAAAATAAAAAGTGCATAACACAGCAGAGGAAGCATTCAAGCATGCTGCTGTTACTATATATCATCATCCAAAGGCAATCTACTACATCATATAAATGATGAAAATTCAATCTACATTAAGTTGACCTTGATTTATAATATTTAATGATGTCTTTCTATGAGATAGAAAAGATCATTTTTAGGTCTCAAGTCATAAATTTAAAAATAAAATCTGTGTGATAAAGCTTATTATTAGCAAAAAGTATGTCAATTTTTCACTATCTTTTGGGACATCATTTGGTTAGACATCCTTACATTTAATCAGCTTTGCCTGTGCTGTGTGTATTGCTGATTCTGTAAACATTTGCAAATAATACTCAGTGGTACAGGTGAAAAATAAAATGCAGTAGGGCCTCTTAGCCACGGGAGATACATTCCAAGACCCTCAGTAGATGCCTGAAACCACAGATAGTATCGAATCCTATAAATACTATGCTTTTACCTACACATACATACCTATGATAAAGTTTAATTTATAAATTAGGCACAGTAACAGATTAACAAATAGAACAATTATAATAATATACTATTTATAAATTAGGCACAGTAAGAGATTAACAAATAGAACAATTATAATAATATACCGTGTTGAAAGTCTTGTGAATATGGTGCCGCTCTCTCTCTCTCTCTGTGATAACTGATCTGATGACCAGGATGGCTACTAAGTGACTAACAGGCCGACAACATCTACAATGTGGACGCGATGGACAAAGGAATGATTCATGTCCCAAGCAGGATAGAGTGGATTTCATCACACTACTCAGGAGGATGAGCAATTTAAAACTTATGAACTGTTTCTTTCTGAATTTTTCATTTAAGATTTTTGGACCTTGGTTCATCATAGGTATCTGAAACCATGGAAAGCAAAACCACAGATAAAGATGGACTACTGTATTAATATCAGTTCCCAAAGAAACTGTGGTAGTTTCCCTAATATTTGGTCACAGGGAGATGGGATTAGAACCTGAACAGAGGTTAATAAGATACAGCTACATGCATATAAAATTATATATATTTATATATAATTACAGTGCTGTTACAATGGTCAAATGGTCAAACATATGTTGTAGCTAGATAAAATTAAAGGAAACTTCAAAGAGTTTCCACTTTGGTTCAGCATTTAATATGAATCAAGTAGTGCTACCATACTAATTTCCAGTTTACTAATGCCACCTAGGAGTTTTGAGTTATCAAAGAAATTTTATATGGCTATCATCCTCTTTGAATATCTTTGGGACACAGAGCCGGCTCATGGCCATTTCAAACCATTTCAGACAAAACAGCCAATGAAGACAATGCTCCATTCATAAAAAACATGCACGCCATTTTAGCCTTTAATACTCTAATGACCAAATTAATCGGATTAAAATAATTATTCTCAGTAAAAAACAAACAAACAAACAAAAACAATATATCTAGTAGCCTCTGGAAGTCATAGAGGAGGGACAGTTACAAGCACAGATCTTGGGGTCCTAACAGACCCAAGTGTTGAGCCTTATGTCTGCAACTTACGAACTGTAGGCGCTTAAGCAACACAATTATCCACTCCACTAATGTCCTCAACTCTAGAATGAGGAAATATTAGGCCTGCCGTGAGGGCTGAATGAGGCATCATGTGGAGCGCATTTAGCACATTAGGCCTTCGATCTGTTTTTTCATCAATGACAATAATGTCAATATCATCACCATCACCATCATTACCATCGTCATATCATCATCATCATTGGAATTTGTCAGCTTTTCTGTTCATTAGGTCAAAAGATACTTCCACTATCTGTTTTCACACCTATTAAACATTGTTCCTTGGCACTGCTCCGAACCTGGGAGCAGCCCTGGCTTTGGCCTGTCTTACCTAAGGAATTTCTTGAGATACTGCCGGCTGCATGAGGACCATGAAAACACCCCATTGTTTCCGGTCAGGGTGGGAGACATGATGTTACCTTCAGCCTTCCTGCAGGGATTGCCTTCTCCGTCGTGAATCATGCCGAAGCTGAAACACATCGACAGTGATGACAAGCTGATTATAAGTTGTTTATGGACTGTTCATGCATAAAGCTAGTGTGACAAACTTCTAATGATTGTCTATTTATTAGCTGAAATAAAAAACCCTTATAACAACAACAACCATCTATTTCCCCGATTATAACCAGAGAAAGAAAATGATGAACTGAGAACCAAGTGAGAGACAGTTATCAAAATTGTAAGAAAAAGGAAAGACCAAAAAAAAAAAAAAAAGAATTACTACATAAAGTGTAAAATTTATGGAGAAAATTTCAAAAGAATGCTGAAGGCTTTTTTTTAGTATGTTTGGCTACTAAAATCAAAGAATGGTATACCTGCTATAAAATTTTAAGAGCAAAAAAAATTTTTTGGTTAAGATTTCTAAGCAAAACTGAAGTGATGAGATAGTCTAATTATTTTATTTCAAATAGTGAAATATTTTTCTTGCCACCAATCGTGGATCTGTGGTAAGGAAGTTCATAGTGAGTAGGTGGTAGGTCCACAGAGAGGAGCTGATTATAAGTTGTTTATGGAATATTCACGCATACAGCTAGTATGACAAACTTCTAATGATGGCCCATTTATTAGCTAAAATAAAAACTCTTATAATTAAACTCCCTGATAATCATAAATATCTTTAAATATTAGTGGTTGAGCCCATCTTTTGGAGACATATAAAGGACTCGTTTTGAATGCATTTTATGAGAAAACTTTGATTTGTCCCATTTTACCACAGAAGGTTCTACCAATTACAGAGTAAAAATAATTTTAGGTGGTTTATGCCAAGAAATCATGAACATAATACCTAAACGATCTCAAATCTCCTGACTGGTAGAATAAACGTGACACTAATGTATATCCACATGTGATACATACACCGTAAAGACAGGGCTTACTTCGGGCCATATTAAAGTGGTAAGGGATAGGAGAATAAGCTTCATAGGCTATGTCTAAAAAGTTCAGTACACAAAAAAAGCTTTTTTGTGTTTGTTTGTTTGTTTTCTAGGGAAGCCAAGGATAGAGAGATAACAATTTTATAATTAATTTAGATTGTTCTTCATCTACTAATTTAAAGAAGTAATATTTGCTTCTTAAGAACATATTTTTATAAAGGAGATATGATTCCTGTGGAAATAAATGTTATTCTGATATTAATATAGCTTTTCTCTGAAGGTAGCCTATACCAAATAAATAATTATGTTATAACAGAGATAGGATTCAATAGTCTATAAACTAGCCCTTTTTCCAGCAGTCCTTCCAATTCATCAAGCAAGTAATGCCAGGATGGCTTTGTAATGTGATTCTATCTGTGAATGTCCCAGATGCACAAATAGGTATTTATTAACCTCGACATATACGCAGGGAAAGTGTTTTCTCCTCCTCAGCGTTGCCCAGTTCAGTTCTTTGTATTGAACCAAGAAACTAAGGGGGTAGTTTGTTTGGTAGACACCCTTTCTAGAAATATATTTGTGAAGGTCAGAAACAGAAGGAAGTGTGTGAAGTATGAGAGGAAAGAGTAGGAATCAGAGAAACGAGATGGAGCGGGAGAGATTGAAATCATTACTTGAAGAGGAAATGGTAATTGAATTAGCATTTCATTGGAGTTTCATGCACATGAGAAACCAAATTTGAATTCAATTTTAAACTTAAAAAAATGTTAATTTTCTAATTTACGTTGATTTAACAGCATTTTAGAAGTCATATCAAAATCTCCTGAAATGTCTTTCAAAATTACCTCTAGAAGGTCCTGTTATTTAGAACTTGAGTGTATATTTTATTTGATATGTTTTTCCCCCCTAACACTATTCTCTCCTCACCCCAACCTGGAGAATGTCTTTGTTTTTCTTCACTAAAATGTTAGATTTTGATTTTGGTAACTTTGATTCATAACCAAGGATGATTACATTTTTAAATGGCCTGTTCATCTGGACTTCATGCTGGTGAAACAAATTTAGACATATATTTGATATTCATAGATATTTTTATATCCTGTTCTGTACAAAGAGGCCTTGTGTCTAATGAGCATTTTTTACCACCGTTCACAGTAAAATTGGTTCATTCACATCATGTTAAGAAAGCAGTTGTGTATATACATAAAATGCTGGGAATCTGTTGGATAACAGCAATGGTCAAGATTCAAATTTCCTGAAGATAATAAATTTAGCTCATAAAAGATACAAATATCATAATATAAGTTAAAATTGTGGAACAGATGATATTGGCTTTTATCTTGAAGTCAGAAATTAACTGGATGCTCTAAACATTCAGTATAAATATCGAATAAAAGACATTCACAAAAACATTCTTGAACTCATACATCCAAAGAGCTTGCCCTTTGAAATAGTCATTTTGCAAAGCAGTATGCTTATTCCAATGTAGATGCTAGTGCTCGAATGTTTAAAAATCCTCTGTAGAATTGTGTCCACACCAGATGATATGCCTCATGAAATAAATTCATATCATTACTTAGTTTTCTCATTCCTCATTTCCAACTCTATTTTCACAAAAGAAAGATTTACTAATACCAATTAAAAGAATATTAGGTGCATGCAATGGCACCAAGTAAAAGAATATCCAATGAATGCATCAAAAGTTTTTAAACAATATGCCATTACATTCTGGGAATTTACATGTCTCCATGGTTATTTCCTTAGTATAATGAACTAAAAGTATCTTCACTGCAGCAGAACATAAATGGAAGATAATAAACAAATGCCTAAATGACCCGAGGGTCCATTAGACAACTTGTAGTCCATTCGTGCACACAAGGTAACACTGTGTGGTTATTAAATGTTGTTTAAAAAGAGCTACGTCAACAATGGGTGGTCTATTGAGCTCTTACAGTCAGGCACTATTTTAAGCTTTACACAAGCTTTATCCTATTTATTCTACCTAGAACAAATTATTATTGGAAGAATGCCAATAAATCGCCCAACATGCTTTCATATAAAGTGATGAATCAAGGGGTCACTTACTTGTGCCCTGACTCATGTGCAATGGTGAAGGCCAGGCCAAGTCCCGTGTCCTCATTGATGGTACAACTTCTGTACTTACTGCACATTCCGCTGATGGGGGCAAACCCTATTGAAAGATCAATTTCAAATGTTAGTCCAGAAAGAACACACACAGATACCTGATCATTGATGTCCTTGAAATGTTCTGTGCAGTCTTAGTTTAATGGATTCACATATTTAATTTTTTTGCAGGAAAACACTAAAGGCATATTGTTCACTCTCCTCCAAAAACATAAATGCAGTATTTAATATTTGCTCTCTTTTTAAGATATTATCATCAATTGATCCTCCTAACAACCCTGTGAAGTCAGTATGAATACTGTAATTCTCATTTTACACGTAGGATAGTAAGTCATACGCCTCATCTAAGTTTATTATTTGCATCAGAGCAATTGCTTCAATGATAGCTAAATCAATGCAAAAGTTTCACTTAAGTCATATTAGCGTCAAAGTTCAAGGCATATTTTCTAAGAGAACGCACATTCTAATCTTTTTCTAAAGCACGTAACATGGAAATGCACAACCGAATGTGAGTACATTACATCTGTTTTTCTTCCATTCGCCATAATGCGACGAGTATTCCTGTTCTCAAAAATGACTTCCTTCCAAAGGCAGTTATAAAATCGTTCCAGCAGGTCCTTGACTCTATCTTGAACTACATAATAGTGTTAAATGTCTTTCTTTCCAGTTTTGGGTCCTCGTAACCAGTAGAACAAGGCTATGTACCCCATCACTTGTGAATTGCTGGTGCCCACCTTGTTGCCATGATGTAAGTTGAGATCATCTGCGGAATCTAATGCACAGGCACATATCATGGGTGGCACCACTGCCACTGCCATTACCAACACTGATCTAGATGACCATTAATCCATTAAAATAATTCTTGAATTCCTACGATATGCAATGAAATACACCAGAAAATATAGTGCAGATGTAAAAAATTTAGTGCTTACTCACTGTCTTGTACAAATATAGAAAAGCTGACTCCTTCACAGGTCAAGTAACTTTCTAAAGGAGGCACTGCTACCAAAGGCACAGTTAAGTACCATGGAGACCAATCAAATTCTCTTAAGCTACCCAGTTCTGCAGTCGTGATGCATATGGAATAAGCCACAGCTTGTCTGGTTAAATAATTTATCTCATGTCTCAATGAACATCAATAGAGTTAAGAAAAATACAAAAGGAATAAAGCAAATGGGTTCTCCATTCCACGCTGAGTTCAGTTAAATAGAAAATTATTCATCTGAGGGCAGAGTGACGATACTCTCCAATTTAAATATATTAGTTCTCCTTATTAAGGATATTAAGGGCCAGCCACCCAATAGAATGTTTCCACACTGTGTTTTCCACTAACGAGTGTGTGTGAACATCTGTTCATACCATACCTAACGTGTCACATGGTTCATTCTTCCAGGAACAAATATCAAATCCCGTGAGTAAGATGGCGTGGTCATGCCTCTTGCCGTTCTTTCCAATGAGGGCAGACTGCCACTGACAAAAACTGTTCAGAGACTGGTCTGCATGATGGTTGATCAATAATCCTCCCTATGGGAAACCCACACAAATCAGAGTGTGAATTTGTCAGAGATGAAAACGTTGAATGATTCCATTTGTACAGGCAAACACAGAAACATCATGTTTCTAGGGAGAAAGGTCAGTAGAGGAAAAAACTTGAGCTAAGGTTGACGATAATTGGTAAAAAAAGAAAAGAAAAAACTAAAAACTATTTCAGGTAAATACAATATTTAAAGTAACTACAAGAGTTTCAGTAGTGTAGTTTATGACCAATTATATTTCTACGGCAAGTAATCTGACATCAGTTAGGATCATCCATTTTTTATCTCATGCTGGTATCACCTTCACCAAACTGTTATAACTTTTAGAACATAATTATAAATTAATGGTGATAAAGTTCAACACCTTTTCAGTAGAATATGAGAAAGGTAGTGACTATAGTTTTTTACCCCTATGTCAAAACTTCTAGAAAGGGCTTGGCATATCATAGGTTACAATCAATCAATCAATCAAATGAAAACTTACTGAATGAACAAATAGTTACAAGATTCTAAAGAGTAAGGTAGGACCTATCCTTAAAATATTTATCAAAATGTTTGCTTAAAATTATTGACTTGGGGCAAGTTGAGGATTTTTAGGGATCTCCACGTATGAGTGAACTAGGGTGCTGCCGGCTTCAGCGTCCTTGAACAAAGCATAAGTGGTAGGTTAGAGACAACGGTGTCTCCCAAACAGCACACACCCTTTCTGTCTTTCTACAATTCCAAGAATAATTTGACAAATTGTTAACCTCTGCAGCTCTACGCACCTGGGCGATTAAGTTTTTCTTGTCTTTGACTCCCTGCTTTGTATGTTCACTACTGGCGTTAAAGATAAAGAGGAAAAGCCACAGGGGACTTGGAAAATAGTCTGTTTGATTGGTAATCCTCAACTCAGAAAAACACACTTTTAATGTCAAAACACTACAAAGCAGTAAGTACCACACAATTTAACACTTTATTATATGTTCTGATTTTCATAATTTGCCCCATGCTTTTGCCTTGTACCTCACTGTAATCAGTTCAAGGGCAGTTAAATATTCCTTGTTTATTATCTGTAGTACCTAAGATGGTGCTGGAGAGACAGCAGGTTTACTACAATAATTTTCTGATGACTTATTTTCAGTACATCTTCAAAATATCCTTTTGCATATACCTGCTATTATCCAGCATATCCAACATGCAAAATCTAACTAACCCTTAGATCTATTAACAAGTTTACCTTCCTGGTGAAGCCTACATAATGTTTTTATATATAATGTAATATTTATATTATACATGCATGTTTAATCATATTTTGCAATACATATATGCATATATATTTATAGGTAAATATTTTGTGATGTTTTAGTTATTTGAATACACAGCCCTATTAAACTGTACTTTCTTTGAGGCTAGGGTCAGCATATTTTCAAATTTGAATTTCTAGTGACCAGTGCATTGATTGGCACATAGTAGGTATTTAACAAGTATATCCTGAATGACAGAATGAAGAAATAAATGAAGTGCACCACTTACAGGGTCTTGTTCCAGAAGAATGAGGCTCACCACAACGATGTTTATATCACTTCCAATGGTCCCATCTTTAAATAGGCTGGAAACCTGTTGGAACAATCGGAATAAAACAAACAAAATCTGAAAACTTCCAAAACTGTGGAGAGGGGAATCGATGAGAAATATTTATAAGTACGTAGGCTTTAATTTTACCAAATATAGGTACAGTGAAGCCAATTTCTTCAAAACTCAATTTTTTGCCCCCAATAACATCACATGGCTACATCTGCTATTCAACAAACACAAGGGGAATTCTGTGATTTCTAGTTGTTTTGGAGAGACAGAGAGCTGGCGTCCTGACTGCCTTCCTTACCATGTTCATAACTGTGAGGATGTACGTGGTGACGTTTGCCTTGCCGTGCTTTTCCACCATTTTCCTGTCTGCTACCACAAGGGTCTCCACATTTAGGCCCGTTGCTGACTTTCCAGCTGACCTTCTGGGCCTCCCCGTGCTCCCGTATTCATCAAACCTGAGATAGGTGTCCTCTGTGGGAGGCTTGGGGGCATCTACAATGAACAGAAGAGCATTTGGAAGGGATATCAGTACAGAACATCTGGGTGAGACAGACAGAAATTGAAACAAGGGGAGGAGAAGGACTATGTAACCAAAACCTCCTAATCTACTGGTAAGTGATGCCATCAGTGCCTGTGCTGGGGCTTTGCACCCAGTGTGTGTCAAGGAAGATTCAATCAATTGAAGTTTGGCTGGCTGGCTGGCTGGCTGGATGGATGAACAGATTCAGTAACTCAAAAATTCTCTAAAGAAGAAAAGCAAAGCTAAATTCTAGTTGGTATAGCAGGCCAAGGAAAATCAATGTTATGGGACTAGTCTTTAAAAACAGAAAATGCTCATTTTATTTTATTGCTGAAAAGCTGCAAAAACTGATGTTCTTAGCATCTGAATTCATAACACTTACATATTATTTTCTAAATTTTAGATATACACATCCTGTAGAACTCTGCTCATGTCTTATACTCTAGTTTTATCAACACAAAATTTAAAATGAGTAGTTAATAAAAACTCTTTAGCCTAATTAATATTAACTTACTTATTGGGGAAAGAGCATAGTCAGGGGTGATATTTAAAACTATATTAAATACTTTGTGGCAGGAAAGGTGTGGGCACAACCTTAACAGAATGGACACTGGCCATAGCCTTTGAGCAGAGCCCTGGAAGTGTCTTTTGGGCCAGGCATGATCCCTTTAGTTAATAGACAATGACAAGTTCAAGAGTGGCTGGGAAGGATAAGGGCATCTGGAAAACTCAGGACAGTACTATGTAAACTAATAGAGAATTATTTTAGTACTTTAACAACTGGTACAGTTATAATAGTGACGACTGCTCTCTGCAGAGGAAATTAAAAGACCAAACCATTTAGAGGTAGATTTAAAACCTCAGGTTTAATTTGATGAGCGACTCTGAGTTTAGCTTTGATATCTCATTGCCACTGTGAATATCATCACAATTATTACTACTACTACTATTATGGATCCACGTCAAACAGAAGTCCCCCAAAAAAGGATATTTCAATAACACCCCAAATGCAAAAAAACAATTAAAATGGTAAAAGCACTATCTTTCATTACTGCTCCTGGTCAACATCGCAGCGACACCAGTTTCCCTGGTCAGTGGGCAGAACCATCACCTGGCTGCTCTGTCCATCTCACTTGCCACTTTTGCCTACTGAACTTTTGAAATGTGGTTGATGACACGGGAGGAACTGATTTTTAAATTTTATTTAATCTTAATTAACATTTAAATTTAAAAAAGCAATAATCGATTCAGTAATTTAAAATCAAGTATGTTTGGAACAACTTGAATATGTAAATCTACTTGTTCAACCTTAAATTTTATGAAACTTAAATACAGATTATTTCAGATGATAGTTTATCATCTGATTTGGAACTGTGCTCTGAGTGTAAAATAAATACTATATTTCCAAAACTTAATATAAAAAAAAATTTGTCATCAGTATGACATGTTATGATATTATATATATTGGGTTAAATAAATTAGATAAAATTAATTTACCTATTTTTAAATTTTTTAAAAATGTGGCTATTAGAACATTTAAAATTACATTTGAGGTTGGCATGATATTTCTATAGGACACGTCTGGTCTAGAATATGTAGAAGGTTGTGCCTAGGTCAACAAACCATGCCAAAGGTCCTACAAATCACTGCCACCTCTGCTAAAGTGCCAATGTTATTTCCTGTGAAGTTTCTCCTTTAAGTCCTCAAAAGGAATGCCCAACCACACCTGAGGATTTACCTCTGATTTCTTTCATTATTGGAGGACTGGGTACTTTTCTCACGAGCACAGAGACACTGAAACTTGTTACTAAAAAGGAGAAGAGGCTAAAAGAACAAAAAATAAATAAAAATCTTTCCTAGTTTAACCAAGAAAAATTGACACTTGATCACCTAGTGTTTGTCTGCCAGGGGTGATTACTGGTCTATCTTTAGGACTAATTTCTTGGGCTGTTCGGTGTAGCCCCATATTAATCTGCAAAGTCAGCACACCCACTGGAACGCAAGAAAACTTATCGAGGGCCCACATAAGAACAGAACAAGAGAAAGTTTCCTTACATACATTTCTTGCGTCGTCCACAAAAATGCTGCTTTTGCAACCTTCGATGGTGATGTTCTCTTTCTTGACTCTGAGATGTGGCGGGAGTGTTACTTGGGTTGTGACCAGGGTAATTCCGGCTGGAGCCCGGGTAGCCACGGTAACTCTGGACAGTCTCCTCGGCTGTCCTTTTGTACAGTACGTGAGGATGGTGGCCTGCAGGTGAGCTGTAGTTGTGTTCCTGGGCCAGCAGCTGAGGTAATGGCGAGATGAGGAATTCGTTTTTTCGTGTCCTTATTAGACCTGACTAAAAAGCCAAACACAAAGAAAATATTAACAATTCCATGAATCCCTTTATTTTAATGTGTTGATTTTTCAGCGACTGATTACTGGCCACTTCCTATGTGCAGGGACTGTGTTAAATGTTTGACATCTCATTTGATCTGCACTATTATCACCTTCACTTTACAGATAAGAAAACTGAGGCTAAGAATAGTAAGTGGAAAAGCTAGGATTGGCACCATGGGAGAGGTAAAAGAGTTTTCCCACTACCCTTCCAGGTTCTTGGCTGAGAATCCCTTGTAAAAAAAAAAAAAAAAAGATTAACAAGAGAAAACAAACAGGCATTTAACAACATATATATCTCCTGTATAAATGGAAGTTATCCAGGAAAACCGAATAACTTGTCAAAATGGCCCAAGTCACCACCTTAAACCTGTTTTTTTTATTATAGAGTTGTCCCAACCAAGAACCTAAGTGTAAAAAGTTGACATAATAGAGCCAGAGCAACCATTCCAGACGAACTGCTTGCATGTCTCACTCCTTGAACCTTTGGAAAGTCTGAACTAGGCAACATAATCTTTGGACTGGGCCAAAGCAACACTGTCTTATAAACAACTGTTTGTAGCTAACAGGAAAGCAGACATTCTGACCACAAGGACTGCTGACTGAGGACACATTTTCTGAAGATAGAATCAGTAATTAATCGGCCACGTACAGCTAAAGAATAACTCGAATAACAAGAAATTGCTAGAAATTTCTTTCCTCTATTCATCTCTATTCATGTAATCATTTTCCTTTTTTTTTTTTTTTTTTTTTTGGGTCTTTAAAGAGAAAACTCTTTGCCTTCACCCTGTAATCGGGACACAACTTGGGTTTCTGCCGGAATCTGTGCCCCAGGATTACAATTCCACGATCTTAAATACACGCTTAGTGCCTCTCACTCTGGCTTTTTATTTTTAGGTTAACAGAGGATAGAGGGAGACTGACTTTTCCTCCCCTACACTCTTACTGGAGCCTGCACACACTTCTTGCACCCACGATCTCCCCCCACAGACTTGCTTGGCTTTCTGGTGCTCACTGTTTACGTCTCAGCTTAAATGCCATCTCCTCAAAGAAGCTGTACTCCTGACCCTGTTTAAAACTACCCTCCCCCGCTTCCGAATTACCTCAGATCACAGATTATCTGCTTTAGTCTATCCTTAATGAAGGAAACAAAATGCAACCTCTGCCCACCACCCCTGACATACAATTTCAATGTACACTCTGCGACAGTGGAACCGCACTGGCAGCCCTAGTGTATGCCGCACGGTTCCAGCCAATCAATATTTATTAGTCGATAAACATTTGTTGACTAAGTAAATTAAAGAGACTCAGAGTGGAGAGGATGCTGAGGGCATGCCAGCACCTCCCCCTCCCCTTACAGCACGGGGAACCAGAGCTGGGAAGTGACAGGCTCGAATTCATTAGAACTATGAACTCCTTCTACATCATAGTACTGAAGCCAGGAGTACTTTATGCATCAAATAAGGAGTACCTTATTTAAGTCTCACAGCTATCCTGTGAGGAAATCTAAGCACAGGTAGAATTCAGGGCCCCCCTTCCCTGAGCAGGGCCCTCACCTTGTCCAAGCTGCTTGAAGATAAAAGACACCATTTACAGACCCGGACAAACAGAATGAACAGTTAAAGAAGAAAAAAAGTGACTTATCCATGAAAGCCCTCCAGCCTTACTAACTTCCTAAATTGGTTAAAGTAATATCAAAGGCTTAAACCAATTAAGGGCCTTGACTGGACTAACCGGTTTGGAAACTTTCTTTTCTCCCTGTTTCATGAGAACTACAGGCAATTCAAATGCAGAGTGAACACTTCTGCATTGAGAAAGCAATAAAAAAATAATAATAATTGTCATCCTATATTGGGACATACATGCTGCACTCAAGCAGGCTTTTATTGTTTAGTTCAGAGTGACAAGGATGAAAATTTAGAACACTTCTTTATTTTTTTTTAAAAAGAGGATTTTACAGTACTAGATATTAAGGAAGAAAAAATATTCTCCTGGGGTTTAGTTGGATGGAAAACATTGCGGGCTAACCTAATAAATACAAAAAAAAAAAAAAAAAAAAAAAAGTTTGAAAATATAAACCCAGCACATCCCCCAAAAGTCATCTGTTCGTATGTTTATATTTGTAAGACGTGTAAGCATTTTGAGTTACTGAATACACACGATGTTCTGGCCAAACTGTGGTGAGCAAGATGGATCCATGGTCTCATGCGGCTGCTGATTAAATGGGGGGAAGTAGGGATTAAACAAGACCACCTCTGGGTATGAAATATTCCTTTGTGTAAAATATGAAGGAAAAAAAAGCAGTATTCTATGAGAGAAAATAACGGAAAGGGTGAGGAGACTGCGGAAACTAATTTTATTATATTTTATTTTTTAAATTAAGTTTATTGGGGTAACATTGGTTAATACAATTACATAATTTTCAAATGTACATTATAATTTGACATTTGTATATTCTATTGTGTGTTTACCACCCAAAGTCCAGTTTCCTTCAGCTACCGTATATTTGATCCTCTTTACCCACTTCGCCCTTCCCCGACCCCGCTATATTTGACCTCCTTTAACCGTCTACCTACTCCCTCCTCCCCCACCCCCTACCTTATAGTAACCGCTAATCTACAGTTCATATCCATGAGTCTCTCTGTTTGTCCCGTTCATTTGTTACTTTTAGGTTTATATCCGACATATAAGTGGTATCATGTGATTTTCAACTTTTTCTATCTGGCTTATTTCGCTTAGCATGATTATCTCAAGGTCCATCCATGTTGTTGCAACTGGCAGCATTTCATCTCTTCTTAT